CAGTTGCTTTGACCAATGCTGCTTCGTCTGAATGGTCAACGTGCTGGTGATCGTGACGTCTGCTTCTTCTCTGTCTTAACTATCACCTGTAACTGTGCATGTATACATATGTGTAGATATTAATTAAGCTTATCTATGTTTAGGTGTATTCGGGAAAACAAACTAACACTGAAATTCTTGTCGCCATCAAAGCTGAGTCAGAGGATGCAACGGTAATAAATTAATCTAATAAGTAAAAATCGTCTGATAATAAAGATCACTACAAAATTTCATAACAAAAATTGCCTTTTTCATGTGATACACAAAAAATAATGCAAAAATATCGATTTCCGTATTCATTCATGATCTATGATTAATAGTATTTTTAGCTATATACAATTTCTGTGCTACAATCAGATATTGTAAAAGTCGTAAAGCAAACTGACCATCAGACGATGCAGCAGTGATCAAAGCAATTGGGAAACTAATAGATGCATAGTTGGAGAACAGTACTGTGAGTGGCAGCTGCTCTGGTATTACAATTCCGATATGCAGTTTTTTGGAATTGAATATTTTTAACCATGGAAGAGCTCACTTGAATAAAAAATTCTCGAGTTCAAGACAAACCTAATTTGAATTATCTCGATTTCTGAATGGGAATTTGCGGCCAAGACCGGTTAAAATGCACAATAGTGTCTTCTAAATAAGCATGAAGCTACACTGTGCCATGTCTTGAAACTACCTAGTCCGCTGTTGCTCTCACAACCCAATGAGGTGTCTGGGTTGCAGTTTCGTGGAAGACACTGTAAGCGTGTACAGTGAATCAAAAGTAAAAAACCTCTTCCATAACCGATTTCTGTGAGAGGCGAAGGCATTCAGGAATACTCCGAGCGGTAACATATGACAACAACAACCATTCGTTGGCAAAGCTGTCGATAACTCTCTTTCTAGAATTGCTTAGAAGCAAGCTAAAGGCGAGCGAAATAAACGTAGAACAAAAATTTGCCAGTGATGTCATTCCCACATTGACAGGTGCCATTACTGCGTATAGAAGCAGAATGTCTCAGGGCGCTCAATCGCGCAATCAGACACAAGTATGGTAACTCACCAACGATACCAGTACCGATACTTACCTATCACACATATGGTGAAATCTCGGGCCTTCGATATATGGTTCGTTTCCTCCTCTGCTGTTGATTACTGTGAAGTAGACCACTGTGATTTTGTTGGCAAATTGAGGATTTTGAGGTAATGGATTTATGCGGTAAAAATATTCGCGAGCTGAAAAAAAGCACGAAAGACGATTGTTTCACAATAACCACATCACTCTGGCTCATGAAAAAGATGATTATGGCATTGCAGTTTTTGCACGATCTGGGATGGATTCATCGGTAATAATAAAAATATGCTTAAAATGCGGTACCTGCGACTACCTTCCAAATCGGTAAGGCGGAAGGGAGGGGGGAAGAAGGTTCTGAATGGAGGGTGTAACCAAAAACAAGATGTGCCGGTCAGCTTGTTTGTACACAACTCTCGAAAGAGGGAGCCATTAACAGCTATATCAGCTGGAAACTGCTTTTGCATGACCTATCACTCACGCTACATTCAAATACCTCCACTGCTAATGAAAAGTAAAGAACATATGTTCAACAGGACTCACTGGAGCAATGTTCTAGGGATGTGAAGCCTGCAAATTTTTGCATTGGACTACAAACGCAAGGTACACAGAATCTTTATCTGGTCGATTTCGGCTTAGCGCGTCATTACATGGCTCCGGACGGTCTACCAAAGACAAGGCGTGAGTATAGCGCATTTCACGGAACCATTCGTTATGCATCCCTTACAACACACAGATATCAGGCAAGTATTTACAAATATTAGGTGAAATCTAATTGATGACGGGCTAATAAGTAACTCATCTAAAAAGCAAAGAAATTGATTATTTGTTGTTCTACCGAACAAGGAATAAGACATGAGAAAGTTTGCAGATTTGTTGAGGTGACAGTTATAATGTTTCTGTCAAAACCTCAAGACTTCCTATCCAGTTTCGTTTTCCCTCACAGTGTTACTAATCTGCCAGCTGCTATTTTACCACTGTGTTTCTTCTGGTGACTGATGCAGCTGATAGCTTTTTAATTCTCTATTTTGGGCTTCTCTCATTCATTAAATTCCATAACGGCGTTCAAACGTGTCCATCTGGCCTTCCCTGAATCTTTTTAGCGGTGCGTGGATACCATTCGAAAATCCGTCTTGTCGTAATGTTGCAAATAAAAGTACCGTTTAAAAATTCTTACATTTTTTTCACAATGAACCCCATCAAGGGATATTTTTGATTAGACAGTGGGATTACTTGTATTATTTAGTTTCTTGCTTCCAGCGAAACTAATGCAAGTTATACCAGGATACATCGTTAGCAAAGCCTGATTTGAGAAGGTAAGAGTGGGATGTGGTAAGTAAACAGGAAACACGAAAATTCTAGTGTCCAGCAATTAAATTCCTGAATTTTTTTCCTGAAGTCAATCACCATCATCTCTATTTGTAATACTGCTATGTGCACGAGTGAGTGACCATCATCATTTCAGGACATGTCACGTTACGATGACCTATGGTCCGTCTATTACATTAGCGTAGAAAATATGGTTGGACAATTGCCCTGGCGATACGTGAACGAGAAAAATGATGTGGCGCAAATGAAAGAAAACATCGATTTGTTACGGCAAAAATACGGCACGGTAAGTGAATTCCCAAATTCCCGTCAACCTGCCAGATTAAAAGTTGGCGCTGCTTACAAAGTCCAACATTGCTGACTTAGGTGGTAACAAAACGAACTGGAATGCAGACTTTAAACAGCTGCAATTCGTATCCAGGTTTCCCAACCAGTAGGTTTTCACCTAGCTTTGACCAATGCTTCAAATTACCTGATGGTCAGTCTGCTGGCGATCCTAACTCTCTTTTCGTCTCCCGGAAAACTTACTATTTTAACGTTTCAGTTAGCATTGTTTTAGTTACCTCGAATACCCACTACCACATCTTCTGATAGCTGCCCAGATCAAGAAGACAAGTACCTCATTGACTC